ATTTAAATAAAACAAGTATTTCGCACAAAGGGGCATAGCTCCAACAAAAAGGGTTGAAATCCCAAAATAAAATGCCAGTGCACAATTACATGAGATACCGATCATTCTGAAAAGTTTCAATGAAATCCACTTGTTAGTTAAGGAGGAGTTGCGCGGACAAGTGTTTCACAAAAAGGGGCATAACTCCATCAAAAAGGGTCGAAATCCCAAATTAAAATGCCGGTGCACAATTACATGAGATACTGATCATTCTTGCAAAGTTTCAATGAAATCCACCTGTTAATTAAGGAGGAGTTTGCCGGACAAGTTACTGCGGACGACAGTCAGACAGACATCCAGACATCCAGACAAACAGGGTGATTCAAGTTTACAAAACCCTATACTTCTACTGAATAGAGAAGTATTGGTAATACAAGAGAATCAAAACAAAAATGAAGGTCTGAAAATCTATATTTATTGTATTGTAATATACGATGTTCAGTAAATACAGACAAGCTTCTGTAATAACTCACCCAAATTAGTATAGGCATAACTGTTTACAAAAAAATGGAACGAATCACATTGGCTATCCCTACTTAATAGGCACACAAACAGAAAATCCTCTGTTGTATAATATAGTATTGTGCTAGAAAATCCAACTCTTACTTTATGTCTGTAATATCTGATTGCCAGATACAGCTTTAAATGATACACATTACAATATATGAATCAGAGACGAGTTCACTCTACACTAGACGGTAATCTTCCGATTTTTCTTTTTATTTGAAATCGCTATTTGTGTGCTAGGCTCTAGAACCGTCTCTCAAATGCTACAAACGAATGTAAAATCGTAACTGGCCTTCAAACGTTATCTTTAACTTAGACGTATATTTTGTGATATCATAGAACTATTTTTTTCGGAATTTGGGTCGATGAAAATAAAACAATTTAACTGCAAATTTATATAAAAAAAAACTCATCATGTATGTTTGGCACTACAGGGAAAACCTGGCACATAATTTGTGAACTTGACGTATGTACGGCATACAGCGTTTAACATAATGATGAATGAATTGTATTAGTGAAACTGAACGGACCAAGACAAAAAAGCAGGCAAATATAGTATAAATCAAATCGCCCGGTGTTAACTAAGTTGCAGTTAAAGACAACATAGTATAGCTTGATAGCTCAGTATAAAGAACATTCATTTTTTTTTATTCCGAAATCAGTATTCAACATATCGTTCACATTTACAAAAAATAATCTTTTGATTGATAGATTGAAAATGCAGCATGAAAATTCCAATCCGAGCACGTTGGACAATGTCTTCGTCTTTTCGAACTACATGTACATGTCCTACTAGTAATCTCCAATACAAATCTATCATTACCATATTTATAAGCAGTCATAACGGTCCTGAAATATATATTTACAAAAAATATTAAACTTAACAGTAACTGAGAAAATGCGTACAACTTTCGTTCCCGTTATTAATATCGATCATCAAATATGTACAGTACAAAAATGACAATATAACCTTAATACGTATATATAGTGGTCAGTGTTCCGAAGGCAATTTTCTAAGTAGAGTAGGTATTCATTAATATTTTCAGAAAAAAACCTGTATATTAGCATGACCGTTTTGGTTTCCGATCGCATCAGGTACATATCAAATGTTGTTGTTGTTGTTGTTGCTTTTTGTGTTAGGTTTTCTTTTACAAATTATTTATAGGTATAATTAAACAAACAAATATTCAGAAAAGTGAAGCCGAAAAATCAACTTTTGTTTCGTGTTGGTCTACAACTCATAAAGTAAGACACATATTACTCGTGGTCAGAAATTCTGTTGATTCCACATGAATGGGTCGATAATAGTAGGCGAAACTTGGTCAAGGTCAGCTTTATCTACCAGAGATAGCAACTCTCACACTCTAGAGGCTAGTAATCACAACTTTGTACAAATTTGAGCTCATCACAAATCGTGACCCGTTTTACTTGCGTCCATTAGTCCACTTCTGGCCGTTTTTTAATGCAGTCTGAGTGTTTACTTGTCTTTTCACTTCTACGAACCCACTTGTCCGTCGGCCTTCACTTCCATGTGTAGTCCACTTGTCAGTGGCTTCCCATCCTGGCGTCCACTTGGCTGCTGTTTCACTTTCAACCTATATCACTTCCATGCGTCCAATTGTTCGTCTGTCTTTACTTTCATGCGTCCATTGTCCCACTGAACATCTGCTTGCGATCACTTTCTCCCATGAGTTTGATATGTTTTGTCATCTGCACATACAAAATGCGGGAACTAACTACTATATTTATAAATCTCAGGTTAAGAGCTCAAGGGTTATGGGTGATTAACTTAAAGAATAGTTCGTTTGCATGCATGATAACTGCCCAGATACTATCATGACCCATGTGTTGGGTAGTAACACATCAGTGTACTTCTGCAATGTAGTAACTGGCAGATCCGTGTTATGTCATGGCGTCGGGTTTGACTTTGTACATATGCGCAACGAGGAGCCTTTTCCAACTACAATATGCATACAAAAATGTATATGTGCATAGTGTTTGCAACGATGGGTACATTGTAGCGAGAGGTTGATGATGTTGCGATGCATGAAGGGGTGTCTGTATTGGCTTCCGTGTGTAGGGGTTTGTGTCTGAAAGGATGACTGGTCGTTGACTTGTGTTACACGAGAATTGCAGGTGGTATGTGGCTTTGAATGTTTCGGTGATACCCGTATATTATAGTGTACATGAATGTATTTGTTGTTTAGTGGCGATCGATGTTCGATCGAGAGTTTCCCAATTTGGGATCTCCGTCATCTATGCATCTTTGAAATCCAGGGGGTGTAATGCTAAAGGCTCTGGACGCGTAACTTGCGGATGAATCGCGAAAGACCATAATGGTAAAATTAATCATCATTAAAGTTAAGTGAACTTCAAAGGACCTGGAGGTAACAGTCGAACGATTGGTCATATTTTCATATCTGAAACTAATCAAATAGCTTACCGCGTGCCTTGAATTTTGTCATGACAGGGGAGACGATGTGAAATGCGGAACCCTTGAATTTCGAAGATAGCTTTTACGTTGTGCTCTGTGGATTGTTTAATTGTTTAGTTTGTTGTTCCCGTACATGCTCTATCTCCCTGCTCTATTGAGTCGTACGTGGATCCCATGCTGTGGTGCCATATTTAGTTTAGGTCTAACTAAGAGTCCAGTTGTCGCACACTTATACCGGATATCACGATCGTCATGCTGAAAATCGCAGTTGCCGTTTTGCTTCTCGTAAGGTAATGGATTTATATTGATACACACTACACAAACTTTTAACATAATTCTATTTTGTTCTTTACATAAAAAAAACCCGGAAAACATAGATATATAAACTATCAATTATAAATGTATCTGCTGCATAGTACTATGGGCAGTTTTGTATGTCATTGCGGGGGCGATACGGTGTTTGGTGGTTAGGGTCGAGAAACAAATACTGATGGTTATTGCGTTTAAATTATTAATGACAATTATGATGGATTTAAGGCTAAAGGAAATAACGGTGGTATGTTTTCAAATATTTTCACATGCAATACAGGAATAAGACAAGGTGAAAATATGTCTTCTTTTCTATTCTCTCTCTTTTTAGTTAAAAGTGGATACCAGTGATTGCCTTATAAATCAAATAAGTTAGAAATTAAGCTGTAATTCATTCAAAGTTAGATGGTGTATTAGTGTATGTCAGTATACTATACTCGTAACAGACTGAAGAGACGAACTCAAAAACCAATTTGATTTGTTCATTAAAAATATCAACATTGCAAAACAAGGCGCCAGAAAACAAAATGGTTGTTAGGGAGAAGAAGAAATAGAACGGTCCAAAATGTTATTATATGTTTAGTTAGTCAATTTGAGTTGCTATGGTGTCCCCCGATAGAGGGCATAAATGCGAGTCCCAATTCTGCACTGGTTACCACATTAGTTGCCTCTTAAAACATGCGGTGACAGAAGGGATACATTCTTTTCTCAATCCCTGACCTGCAGGGAGGAATTTGTTTGACAGTGCAATGATGCAACGAAGGGAAATGTATTCAGAGGAAAATTGAATTTTTCAAAAGTAAAAAAAAAACAATTATTCTCCAACAACGATACTAGTACTATATGTGACATTAAAAGCGATGGTATTCGAAAAAGGATATTTTGATATAAAAATAGTTGTTGAGTTTTTTATAAATGTTTAAAATCAAGTACGTATAATAAATCTGTATGCCATATTTTGTCCTCAGCATTGTCAAGTCGGACGGGGACGGGGACGGAGACGGTCACGGACACGGTCGCGACCTTTTTGACAAATATGACGGCAATAACGATGATCGTTTGTCAGATACCGAGTTCAGGAAACTTTTCATGAATTTCGACTCCTGGCCAGGTATGACGTTCCCTTAATTTTTATTAGCTAGCTGATATCGTACAGTTTAAAGACACCTCTCTATAATGGTACCCGGGAATATCGACATCTTTCTACAGCGTTACACTCTATATAACAGCACTTCCTTACAGCAATACCTCTCAAACATTTCGCTTCACTTCATCGACATATGTATACAATGTCACCGCTTTACAACGTTACACTCTACATGGTATATGCATTTGTCAATCGGGAACTGTTGGCACTTTTCGTAAACGAATTTCTCGTTTACGGAAAGGGCCGACGGTTCCCGATTGACCCTTTACCGTTAACAGCGGTACTTCTGTGCTACATGTACAGTACTGATGATAAATAGCATAGTGACCCGCGAATATGGAATTTTTCTTGAGTCCCTAAGCTACATACATGTTACACGCTAGTCACCATCTGTCAGGTTTCACGCTTGTATTTCCCTTATATCTACAAATTTCATAATTTTGTGAAATGTCGTTGTTGAATGCAGATTTCGTAGTCGCTTGATAACAATGAAAACCACAAAAAACATTCAAACATAAATATCGAAAGTTGGCATTTTATAGAATTGTTGTAAAAAAACAAATTTCTCGTTTGTTAATTTGAAATGAAGCGAAAGTGAGGACCAATGCATTGTCCAGCAGTGGCATATTGGCATTTGATAAATATTCCGTACACAGCATCTTTCTATTTCTAACCATACAGAAGATCAACAGATTTCCGAACACGAGTTTATAGCAGGCTGGTCAGATCCACACAGCGAATTTTCGGAGGCGTCATCTGCCGCTCTGTTCTTCTTCCGAACGGACCTTGACCATAATGGACTCGTTTCAATACAGGATGTTGACAAACTTTTCAATATGTTTGATGAAAATGGTAAAGTATCCTAATTTAGCTAATTTGCTGTTGCTATATACAATGTACCTGAAATCTATGGCCACTGCCCTACTGTAGCAGCACACATTTGTATACTGACATGGGCAATCACTGACCCCGTTCTAATTCTGGTGGTGAAATTGATGTAATGCATGGCGATGGTGCATATGTTTTTGCTAAAAGCAAAATGACTAATGTTTAAATGGTAAAGTTGATTTGAAACTGTATAGTGATAATTTCAGGTTCATTGTTTATAACAAGAACATTGACCACATATACATATACAAGTTTTTCGCTCTTTTTTTTAAATGAAAGAAAAGTAATCACCGCCTGATATGTTTTTCAGACTATACTGTAAATACGTATGAACACAAAGCGAAAGGAACGTTTTTGTTCACAGTATACACTGTACGCTGTTTTTCGTTATGATACACTTGTTACTATGGCTACTTCAGCTAGCACGCTATGTGACCTAACACCGTGATACAGATATACGTCGTGATGATATATACATTGTGTGTCACCACATAAGCACGTTTTTGTTACTGATTTATTAGAATTTATTATGTCTCCCCTTCGAATATGAAGGGAGAAATATTGTATTAGTTCTGGTTCTTCTTCTTCTTCTTCTTCTTCTTCTTCTTCTTATAATCGTATTTTGTCCGGGCCATAACTTTTAAACCGTTAAAGATATATTGATGACACTTAAGGTATGCCTGCATCACCCTCAGAAGGTATGCAGTGCACTGGAATAAGGTCACTGTGGCCTTCACAATAAGGTCAACGGTCAAATAAAGCAACATTTTCAGTTAATTCTTGTCCGGCCCGTAAATTTTAAAGCGTTAAATATATCCTAATCAAACTTGAATTTGTTTATTTTTATACCGAAGTTTGTCCACGGCATAGCTTCCATGTTATTTCACCTACGTTGACCAAACTTGCTATAGTTATGTATCTTGGGAAGCAGGAGTGTCGCATTCTAGAATCGGGTCTCGTGCCCCACTATATAAAGATATATGGCCCTTTGTTAATTATTTATACCGAAGTTTGTCTGCAGCATAAGTTCCGTGTTATTTCTCCTACGTTGACCAAACTTGCTATACAAATAATGAGCCAATAGAGGAACCAGATTGTAATCAGATGTATGATAAAAAATGAATGTAAATGTGTCTATAGTAACATACCTGCCGAAACTTAACCAAATTGTTACGACAATTTAACATGAACCAGAATAATTTAAAAGTGTAACGGTTTAGAGTGTACACACCTTAATCTTGATGTGACCTTCCTATTCTTCCAAATATGCATATTGGCTAATAAGGGGAGACATCTGTTTTTGTTCAAAAAAAACAAATTTCTAGTTTATTGCATTTTTTTACCATTTTAATATCGGGATTTATAAATTAAAGTAAAAATGTTACCTTCCGCTGCAGTGAGAAATATCACAGTAATAGTTTTCACTAGTTCAAACAAATATTTCTTTAAATTTTGAACCAACGAACCTACACAATATGCAATTAACGAATATAGCTACTTATTAGAGTTCCCCGGGTACTCCGGTTTCCTCCCACAGTAAGAGACCCGCTAACATCCGGGCCATCAAAAGGGATTAGTATAATTTGTAAAAAATATATAGATTATATTTACGTTCAAACGTAAGTGAGAGTAACTCCTGGAATTCCGAGGATACAAAAGGGAAACTTACAGCTTTAGCAACTTCCATAGAATGCTTCTCGTTGTAGAAAGTGTTTGTCCTCTTCCACTTCTTCAGTCTCACTGTGGAATAATTGTTTTTTTCCATTTTGAATCAAAGTGCTAGTAACAACTGTTATCGTTGCAGGAAACCATGACGTGAGTAAAGCCGAGTTTTGTGATGCCTTCACCGCCATGTTTTATGCTTTAAATCATTGTTGATAATACAAGTTACTGAGGGGTCCACTTGTTGTTGTTGTTTTAATTAGTTATGCAATATTGTACACCAGTTTGTTGTATGCCTTCTAGTTCCGATACCAGCAATGATCGGGATTCGAACTCACCTCCGCACGCGTCTGTGATATTTTACTTGAGTTCTAACTCGGAATAATTTAAGTTCGAACTCAAACTATTGGTGGTATCAAGTCCAGTGCCCGTTTTCATGAAACCGTTCTCATGCTCGAGGATAGATTCTGTGCTCAACCCAATTTTCCTGCAACTCACTTAAATCATGATGTGGATTTTTTTTTTAATCATTCACCGGAACAAGAAACCGGGCTTTAGCATAGAATCTGAAATTGAGCCTGAGATCGGTTTTATGAATAACGGTGTAACATTGAAAGTGGACCTCTGTTGAAAATAGAACCGGTGTCAGTTTTCAACGTTGAAATTGGAACCGGGAAGCCGTTGAACCTAACGCAAATGTATGTTTACATACACGTTGAAAATGGACCCCCGTTTAAAGGTGAACCATATGAAAAAATGATATGTTGATATCCACTTAGATTACTCTTAATGAAGTCCTGCGACCTATTTCTAAAAAACAATGACCTTCACTAAAATACACTGAGTTCAGAAATTAACCCAGTATGGATGTCTGACCTACTTTTGAAGATTTGACCTACATAAGCAAAAATGGTAATAGGGGTCAGAAATTAACATTAAACAGATGTTAGGCAAAATTAGGTCACTGTGATCTTAAACATTGACCTACATTATCAAAAATGGTCATAGGGGTAAGATATTACTATTTAACAACTGTTTGACAAAATCAGATCACTGTGATTCAATTTTCAAAATTTGACCTACATTACCAAAAATATGCATATGGGTCAGAAATGAACATTTAAAAGTTGTTAGACAAAACTAGGTAACTGTGACCTAATTTTCAATATTTTACCTTCATTATCGAAAATAGTAATTGGAAAAAAAGAGATTCAAAAAACTTGTTATTTGACCAAATGAAGTCACTGTGATCTAGTTGGTTTTTTTTAAATATTTAAAGACATTGTCACAGGACAGGTTTCAGAAATTTACAAGTATTTGTCCAAGCCAGATCCGTGAGAACTACATTTTTTCTAATTTGACCTCAGCCGTATAAATTGTTACAGGATTCAGAAATTAAGCTAAAACCTACTTTCAAAATTAGACGTTTATCATTAAAATTGGCATTGGGTTCAGAGATTAACACAAATGAAGAAAATATGCTTAACCAAATTACGTCCCTGTGACATGCTTTTCAACATTTGAACTACATATACAACATGCATGTATTTTTTTAAATAGTCAACAGGTTAAAACGTTCCACTGTTTGGAGATAAGAATGTCATTGTGACCTACATTTCACACTTTCTTTGTTGGAATGATCTCAGTCCACATTGAACATTAAAATAACCCCAAAATAGTTTCGACAATTTATTGATTGCGTTAATATGACTTGGGTCCTTATTCCCCGTTGAAAATTTACCCAGAAAATTATGAAACCTTTCACCATTCCATTGCTAAAAAATTGACCCGGGTCCATATTCAACGTTGAAAATGGACCCCTGAAAATTATGACAGTTTTCCATACTCTATTGTCAAGAGTTGGCCCCAGGTTCATTTTCAACGTTGAAAATAGACCACTGAAAATTATGACAGTTTTCCATAGCCAGATGTCAAAAGGTGACAAAGGTGACAAAGGTCCATATTCAATGCTGAAAATGAACGCCAGAAAAGAATATCACATCATGCCATTGGCAAAATGTAGCCCTGGGCCCATATTCAACGTTGAAAATTGACCCCTGGAAATTAGGACAGTTTTCCATATTCAATTGTCAAAAGATGACTCCAGTGTTTTTTTCAACGTTGAAAACCTACACAGAAAAAATACACAATATCAATGTCAAAATGTAGCTCCGGTTCAATATTCTAAGTTGAAAATTGATCACAGAATCATTATTTCGTTTTTATATGTTTGATTGTCGAAAATGGTCGTTGATCGATATTTAACGTTGAAAATGGACCCTTTAACTATATGTATTGGTGGTTTCTTTTCATATTGAAATGTCAAACAAGAGACCAAAGTGGAATCTTTGCCCCCACCATCGTTAGATCTCCATTAATTTTATCTAAGCTTGACCTTTTCCCTTCATTTCTCTTCTTTTCTTTTATCTGGTAGATTGATAATCTTGTCAACATATTGATCAGTCCAAGGACATTATGACACCAGGGGCGTGGCTATAGCCCTTGTTCGGAGTAGATTTGTGTACTCGCCTGCGTGCCAGTGTATAGTCAGCTACGCGCCTGGACACCTTCTATATTCCGATGTCAAAAGTTGGCCACGGGTCTCTATATTCAACGTTGGAATTAGATCCCAGAAACATAATGTCGCCTTTATTTATACAATTTGTCAAACCTGGTCCTAGATCATTATTCAATGTTTAAAATGGACCTCAGAACATTTTGTCGTCCCTATGTATTCAACAGTAGAAAATTGTCCCGGGTCCATATTCAACGTTTCAAATTGACCCCAGAACATTATCATACCATTCAATAATTAATTGTGAAAAATGGCCCTGGGTCAATATTCGACGTTGAAATTTGAATATTGAGCCGGGAATTCTTTGACCAATGTATGGATATAAACAAAAGACGACGCGTAATTAACTTCCCTTACGGACAATACAAAAAAACTTAATATGAAAAGCGCATAACTTTTCAGAAAGTACACTTCAGTGTCATTCTAAAACTGTAACTGGACTACATCTGCTTTCATTTTAATTTATGCTACTGCTTGGCGATATGAAAAGAAGAATAGTATGTTGCCACAGTATTAGCATGCATACTAGCATTAATGTCAAATAAGTCGTGTCTACCGATTGGACATTTTTTTTTATAATTCCATATACATTTAATAATGCAGATAGAACGTAATACATGCAGGCTGCATTTTACTCAATGTTTACTTGCAATTAATTTAATACAGGTATATCACCAATACTGTCTGAATCAAATCCAAGAATTCCTTAAAATTACATTTAACATACTACGCTCTGATTGGTTTGCGGTTTCTGCACAAGTGTGAATTGTAGTGAACATACAGGCATGTCACTAGTTATTTAAAACTACTACTTCTTAAGTGAAAAACTGTCGATCAACTAGGTTATGTGAAGAACTGGTCGACTACGTAATACAAGAGAGTACTGCTGCCATATATATTTTAGGACATTACTAGAAGAAACTAAGGACATCGAGACGCGGGATATTATATTATATCGTTTTAACATATCTTTCACATTTGTATATCGAACCGCCATCGAGAACTTGTTGAATTGTTGTTTATATTTAGCGAGTGTAAAGCTGCTTGTAAACCGGAAGTGAGTTGCCGATTGGAATGTAATGTAAAGCTAGGCCTTGAAAAAGAGCTTCTGTGTCTATTTATAAGCTAGATGACAAATTCATAGGAATGTTTCTGACAAGTTTAATTACAAGAAACAAGAAATGTTACCGATTTATTATGATAGTAATACTATCTTTCTAGCCTTATCGCGCCATTTTTGTATAACATTACGCATGTCGTCTGCTATTCTTGCGAGACAAACTGAGACCAAAAAGTGTTTGTGCTTTTTGTGAGTTTTTAATCACTTGTTATGCCCCGCCATAAAATGGGGTGGGGGCGGGGGGCGGGTGCATAAAGTGTTGCCCATGTCCGTCCCGTCCTGTCGCGTCCCGTCCCGTCCATGAGCGGGAGCATTTATGTCTTACAGACATTATCTAGTAATTATGATAATAAGAATAAGGACAGAAAGAGGACACATGTTAGGAAATTGTAACTTTGTAAATACTAGATTTATAGTGCGAGAGGGTGAGGAACTTTTTGTGAGAGTTGATGTGAGAAGCGATTTGATTGGTTGAGATAAATCATGTAATCATGTGAGAAGGGTATAAAAGGGAGCGAGAAAGACGTTCAGGTCAGACAATCCTGTAGCTTTGGCCACGACAATATTATTCTTAAACCTTCACTACTGTAGCAACGCTCCAAAAAAGGTTTGGTTGAGACACGTACTGATGGTTAGTCTGTTAACTATACATTTGGTATGGTAATAATTCGGACTATTGGTATGGGTGCGGTCAAAAGCCATGATGTTGCTCAGCTACGGACTGGAGTTGTCTGTCCAGTTGACCAAAGAGCTGCCACAGGATATCCGCGATGACCTGTACTGGGAGAGGAGATTCTCTCAGCGTTTTGAGGAGAAGCATATGGTTCTGTTCCCACTGTGCATCCAGCGTCAGATCAACTTCTGGTACCATGTCCCTCCCTATAGGTATGTATTCTGTTAGGGTTATTTTACAAAATGGTCAGATTTCATAAGCGGAATCAAAAAACAAGAAAAGAAAGTCAAAAGTCGCATATATAAGGTACATGTACCTATCAAAAGCTGATAATTATAATGTTCGACCTTCCTCCGTTAGATCAACGGGTGCCCCTCTTCCAACTCCCCAAACCTCGAATTGATTTATCATCCTTATTAAATATAAAAAATTAAGTCACCAATTGACAAAACACGTCATTTTTCAAAAGTTATCCATTTCTTACAGGTGTATTGCCCCAGTGTCGGAGAAGATAGCTGATGACGGTGGATTATGGAATTGGACCGTTATTTCTATTGACGCAATTCTTTGTGTGATAACTGGCATATCGATCAAATTTTCGATTCGGATCGCCTTAATTATTTATTCATTTGTCACGGTTAGTTCCGATGGGAACTTGACTACGGCTAATGACTGATTCTAACACTGTGGATCATGATATCGTCCAGTGGACTGGTCTAACGAAGATTTCTGCGGGGTGGCTGTTTTATCATTTATCATTAAGAACTGTACTGATCTTGTCCAGTAATGGTCGAATTAAAAAAAAGATATATTTATACAATTTATTAATTTGTTGTGTTTGTTAACTGGCAGATGTTTAATCAAAAATAAGTCAATAGGAAGTAAGATTATCTTGATCTTCTACAAGCTAACAAACAAACATAAAAAATACTCTCCGAAACTCCTTCTCTTTCAGACCACAGGAGCCTAAAGTTCTGTCAAAAACATATAATAGCAGTAATACAAAAACAATGCCTATACTATGCTAAAAAATCTGATATTATTGGTATTTTTTGTATTTAATTTTTTTGACAGAGTTTCAGTCTCTGGTGTTCAGACACAGTCATAAAAAAAAATACAAATAAGCACTCCGTTTCTACTACAGTCTTCCTATTGAACCCATTCCCTTTTTTAATTATCAGTATATCAGTGTTTGATAAGAATTATCAGAGTTAATTATTTTCGTGATTCTTCAATTGTGTCATCAATAACTGTTTATATATGCAAAAATAAATTGTCAGAAATATGAGAAGGTGTTAATTCCGGGTATTAACCTCTATTACACGTGGTGTTCATCAAGGTGGTGTTTTAGGTCCGCGTTTATTTTATGTAATGATAAGTCATATGGTAAACAGAGCCGATAGTAAATGTAAATTTTATTTTATTTTATCATATGCTAACAATAGTGTTCAATACATCAATAAATGAAATACAGACCTTACAAAATAAATCATCATGTAATGAACCGGTTTTTTGGCGTGAACTAAGGAAGGTTGGCTTGCAATTGGCCCAAGTTTCAATGCTTCTAAATCGTTCTTTCCTTCATTTGTAGTTCGAATCTTTGTGTATATTGTTTGGATTAGAAATGGATTTAAGTTGTTACTCTTTTTCTACATAATATATTTGAGGTAATGTCTTCCAAACTTGGTGTTGTAATTTAATCCTGATCAAACTGAGTTGATCGATAACTTTTTATCTCTTTATTTAGGTAAAACAGGAATAATGTTATTTTGTTCCAATATTGAAAATCGAAAGCAAAGTGAAATATTTTGGTTTACTCTTGGGAACTGAAATAGTCTTACCGTGGCTGTATCAATTGAAATAAATGATATTGCAATGAAATAAACAGTCTTAAAATACTTCCCTGCTCTCTATTTTCGGTCAGCCTCCCTATAAGCTAGGCGACCCANTCCGTCTTTATATGTCCGACTTGTAAGCTAGGCGACCCGTCTACATATGTCCTCCCTGTAAGCTAGGCGACCCGTCTTTATAAGTCCTCCCTGTAAGCTAGGCGACCCGTCTACATATGTCCTCCCTGTAAGCTAGGCGACCCGTCTTTATATGTCCTCCCTATAAGCTAGGCGACCCGTCTTTATATGTCCTCCCTGTAAGCTAGGCGACCCGTCTACATATGTCCTCCCTGTAAGCTAGGCGACCCGTCTACATATGTCCTCCCTATAAACTAGGCGATCCGCCTTTATATGTCCTCCCTATGAGCTAGGCGACCCGTCTTTATATGTCCCCCCTGTAAGCTAGGCGACTCGTCTTTATATGTCCTCCCTATAAGCTAGGCGACCCGTCTTTATATGTCCTCCCTGTAAGCTAGGCGACCCGTCTTTATATGTCCTCCCTGTAAGCTAGGCGACCCGTCTTTATATGTCCTCCCT